TTTACCTTGTTGGATGCTAGATATCTTTGAATTCTTATAAATATTCCTGTGCTTTGTTTTGGGGTGCAGTTAAGTTACATGGAAACAATCTGATCCTTTTGGGTCTTGCTTTTATGTATTATTAGGAGGGACTGAAGAAGTGCTGCTGATTATTCCCCACTAATGAGACAAAACCCTCCTGAGTGCTCTACCCAATGCCCAGTGAATTATGTGTTTTTCCAGTCAAGTGTTGGGAAGAGGCACTATTCCCAGCCCTAAGCATGCATAAGGCACTGTTCTTAAATTCTTTCAGGTGGGTTTTCCCCTCAGCCTTAGCTAGTTACCTCACACACGAGTACACTGATCAAATACTCTGCTGAATACCTGGGACAGGGGTGGGGGAATCTCTACAGATCTTGGGAGTTCTCTCTCTTGGCAGTTCTTATCTCTTTCATACTGTAGCTGCTTTGGTCTCCCACGACACCCAGATGTATCTCTTAACTCAAGGGAGTGTACTGGGTTCCACCTGGATAACCCCTCCCTATGCCATGCTCTGGAAACTTTCTCAAAGTAGTAAATTGGGGGAGTCATGGCGCTCACCTTGTATCCATCTCTCTGGAAATCACTACTCCTTGTTGCTACTTCTAGTTTCTTGAAAACCACTGTTTCATATATTTTGTTTGTGGTTATGATTTTGGCTTTTTGTTTTAGGAAGAAGAGAAATCCATTTCCTGTTGCCTTATTGTAGGTGACNCCTCAGTGTCGCCCCCGTACCGGACCGGGACCGGCAACGGGATCGCAACCCTCGGTCTTGCTCCCATACCTCGCTCAGCCAGTGAGCAGGAACCGGTCTGTATGTGGGATCCGAACCCTCGGTGGGAGCGCCACCGCGCTCCCAAGCGGCGCACTGTAGCAGTGCGCCACCGGGCCGGCCCTAGAACAGCTTTTCAAGTGTGTCAACTGATCAGATTTTTTTAAGCCAGTCAAATTTAGCAGTGGGGATTTACATTCAAACTTTAGTGACAACAATGTTAATAAGTTCTCATGACCCACTAGTACCAAACTAGCCTGATTAGATTTTTTGAGGGCACTGAATTTGACTTCTATGTTTTGATTTTTTGTGACCGGTAAGGGATTGCAACCCTCGGCATGGTGTGGTCTGCACCATGCTCAGCTAGTGAGTGCACTGGCCATGCCTATATAGGATCTGAACTCCCGGTCTCGGCACTACCAGCACCGCACTCTCCCGAGTGAGCCACGGGGCAGGCCCCTTGACTTCTATGTTTTAATGCAAATTTTAATTCTACTAATGAATTTTGAGGCTTCTTACAATCTTTCCTTATATATCATCCATATCCCTTTTAAATTGATAGCTCAACTGCTGTATCTCATTTCTCTTTTTACATACTTGAGTCTTTCCCCCCAACAATTCCAATCCCAAACTTCATTCTTTTTTTTTTTTTGTCTTTTGTCTTTTTTCCGTGTCCGGCAACGAATCGCAACCCTCAGTGTTGCCCCCGCACCGGACCGGGGACCGGCAACAGGACTGCAACCCTCGGCGTTGCTCCCGCGCCTCGCTCAGCCAGTGAGCAGGAACCGGTCTGCATGTGGGATCCGAACCCTCGGCGGGGAGGAGCGCTGTCGCGCTTCCCAAGCGGCGCACTGTAGCAGTGCGCCCCCAGGCCGGCCCCTGTAGGTGACATTTTTTTCTTCCTGGAAGCTTTTTA